GGCTGCTACCCAGAAAGGTTGTTGGAACTGTGGAAAGCAAGGACATATGAGGAGCCAGTGTAAGAAGAATATTATCAATAAGTCAGCTTTAAGGAAACCAGTAGTGGTTCATGTTGATGGACACCCACCAACCCCAGTTGTGAAAGTCCTAACAGCTAAGTGTAAAATGCCAAGCACACATAGTGTCTATGTGACAGGAAAGCTGGATGGCCAAAAGTGCAACTTTGTCAACTAGTTTTAATTAAGAAAGGACTTGTATCGCTGAAGTTTCTCGGAAAGAATTTCTATGGGAAATTAACAAACAAGCAGATATGTAACAGTATACATTATTTACTCAAACTACAAATCCCTATTTTGTCTTCATGCTGTTACTCTGAATTATATTTGGTATAGTCAAAATAGGGATTTGTAGTTTGAGTAAATAATATCTACAGTATCTCCAGCCTTGTTTCCTACTTTTTTCATGATATAGGGTTTGGGTCTCTAAATACACTGACTATGCAGTATACAAAGCATTGAGTACGTATATGTTACAGTCATATAATGTTCATCTGTTACTGGCTGGTAATTTCTGTTTCACCCTGTACTTAAGCTTTTTTAAAGGAACACCAGATACTTGTAAGAAAGCTAACTTCAAGGGATAATTAAAAAGTTGTTTATACTTTAATTATGATGTTTTTTAGCTTATGTAAAATATAGAAGAAACAAATCAACTTTTCAATACACCTACAACCTTCGCAGTACCTTACAAGAGGTGTGGTTGCAATATACCAAGCCTTTTTTTATCTGTAGGCTGGCAAAAGAAAGAATAATAATAACATGAACAACTGAGCAGCTTCTAGTGGATTTTATATTTGTTCTAAGTATCAGATGGTTTATTTTTTGGATTTGTTTGTTTGTTTTTGGAAATTCGTGCAAAGCTACACGAGGGCTATCTGCGCTAGCCGTCCCTAATTTAGCAGTGTAAGACTAGAGGGAAGGCAGCTAGTCATCACCACCCACCACCAACTCTTGGGCTACT